TAGGCCACTAACGAAAGTATCAGTTGACCCAAAAAATCCAAAAGCACTCACTCCAAATCATTGGCTGTTGGGATCATCATCTCGTTCGATAACTTCGGGAGAATTCCAAAGTGAAGATCTTTGTTGTAGAAAACAGTGGCGAACAGCCCAAAAACTAGCTGACATGTTCTGGACAAGATAAGTAAGAGAATACCTACCGGTGTTAGTTGTAAGAAAACGTTGAAATCACGATGTACGAAATTTAGCTGTAGGAGACATAGTGCTAATTGCGGATCCAACAATACCTCAAAACACCTGGCCGAGAAGTAAAATAACAAAGACATATCCAGGAAAATATGGCCGCGTACGCGTAGTAGATCTCCTTTCGCGGGGAAAAAATGTAAAACGTTCTTCAAACAAAATCATAGTGTTAGTTCCATCAAATTTGGGTACGGAAGAACCAACCTCCCGTACCGTTGGGGAGGATGTTGCGGACCCGGGCACCAAGATGGGTAAGGGTCCTTCAGTGGAGCTAGAAGTAGTGGGGGAAAGGATCGGGAAGTCAGTGACCGATGAAAGCCCGTTGTTGTATGATTTGCGAAGCTGAGATCTGAATAATAAAGTTGATTTATTTAATTTCATTGTTAATTTGTGTTGTATAATTTAATTTTGTGACGAACTTCAGACGGAATTGAACCATTAAAATAAATTGAGGGATCGGTAAGTTGATTTGCATTAATATCAAATAATTCTTAATACCCACCTGGTGGGTGAATCAATTGAATAACTATCCGAATATCCATGTAGTGGATGACTAAATAATTGTGTGTCCACGTGGTGGACGAGCTTGATGATGGCTTGTGTGATGAGTGTTGAGTTCATTTAGTTTTATTTAATATGTTTGTTAGTTTATTACATTACTTGATTGTTGTTAATAATGATATTCATTCTAATATTATATGTCTATAATTCCTCATCATCATTTTCTATAAAATAAATTAAATCATTTGCGAAACAAGTAACAGTAGTCTCAAAAAAATTATTTTATAAAATATTTAGGGCATCCTTGAATTTTTTTAATCCGCAAAATGACACAAAAAAAATTCACAAACTGTTTTTGAACGCCATCTATTTATCAACGCGTGTATTACGTTGGTAATATGCATATATTAAGGTTACAACAAACATTTTTATATATTATATATTTAATTATTTACTATAAGTTTATTGTATAAATAACAAAAATAATTAATATTAATTTAATAGGAAAAAAGTTGATTTTCTGTCATTTCCTTTTTTTCAATCATACAAAATAGAGTATACAATGACAGGTAAATACACTACTCTTTAAAAAAGGTAATTATTTAATAATAAGAGCTTAATTATCCAATAATATTGCATAAATTGACTCAGAAAACATTAATTATTACTTACTTATATCAATTTTACCAATATTTCAATAATTTTTTGCAATATATTGCCTCAAACGCAAACGAACCGAAATTTGGATCGTGTTCAGGACACAAAAGTACATTAGGAACCACTCTGATATCTCAAAAAAATACCTTGTAGACCTGTGTTATTAATTTAATAATTTGAGATCAACTTTTTTACGTCGCTGTAATTGAAACATTTGTAAGATTTTCATTGACTCCAATTACCCTGGCAGATTGGTTCAAGCTTTTTTTAGAGCGATTTCGCTTAGTAATCGCTTAACTTTGCTTAGAGTTAAAATTTATCGATAAATTGTTAAAAAAATTATGTAAAATTAAAAAATTAAAGTAAATCAGTGTGTATATATATGATTTGTGGAAAAATTCTGATAATCCAGCCGATTGTATGCGATGCGAATACTCCACGAATTTCGCTGAAAATTCATGAAACACGAGGTTGAGATTGAAAGTCTGTCCAAAATGTATAAAAAATTATGAACAATTATTTTTTCATGAATATTCATTTTAAAAATAAATCTTTCTTTGGCTATATTTTTGAAAAAATCTTTTGATAAAAAAATTGTTTTTTACCACCATTTTTGATAAATGTTGGATGGTTAGGAGATAAACGAAATAAATGAGAACACTTTATTTATAGAAAAAATATCTTTCATTAATTAAGTTTAATACGCATCTTTTAAGAATGAGAGGAACACACGAGGTGAATCGGAGATTCAAAATCACATAATCATAGACCAGAAAGATAGATGGTCGAAAATCATATAAGCTAGACTTAGTAGCACAACGGCGCTTATAGTAACTAAATAAAGGGCTGGCGTTCTAAATTTTAACAATAAAAAATTTATTTTTTTCACTAATATTTTTTATGAAAATATTAATTTTTTTGATAAAATAAAAAAATTTTACCAATATTTCCGTATAATAAATAAGAGTTTTGCTTTTGATAAAAAAATACAGAAAAAATTTAAAAAGAAAAAAGTAGAGCTGCCACCTACCTGCCAAAAAGCGCGTCTCTATTGATTTTATCGGCAAATGTTGATAATAAACTGTATTAGATTGTAATTAATAAATACATTAAATTTGTATAATTATTTAACAATAATTATCTTAAAATGCATAAAACTTATTAATTTTAATAACTATACTATCAATTTTATCATTTTTTATACATATTGGACAGAATTTCAATCTCAAATTCGTGTTCCATGAATTTTTCGCGAATTTCATGCAGCATTCGCATCGCATATAATCCGCCAGGATTATCACACTTTTTCCACAAACCATATATGAGAGATTCTTTTTTAATCGCCCCAGCCCAAAAAGTCAATGTTCTGGGATTGGCTTCATACTTTAGTAAATTGTTGTCCTATATGATAGTAATAAATCCCTAAAATATAAACTCATTAAAAAAATATTTGTAGAAAGTAGAGGGGGTTGAAGTTTTGACGTTAAGGGTAACATTGTCATTTTCAAATCCGTATTACTATGACAAAAGTTAATGGATTTTAATTTACCTATAATGAATTTTAATGCATTTTTCACGTACTTTTCAAAAATTTTTACGAAATTAAAAAAAAAAATTTTTGACCTCTTTTTTTCAAAATCAACCCTTATTTTTCGATTTTCACTCCTTCGGGTATTTTTTTAGGGTTCCGTACCCGAAGGGGGAACCCTATTAATGAGACTAGTGAAGCAAGGCATGTACCCCCCCCCCCCTAGCGGCCACACAAATTTATCTAGAGGGCTGAAATTTGGTATACATGTGTATTTTGGCGTGTAGATTACAGGAACAATATAGCGAATCTCATAGGAATTAATTATCATAGCGTTGTCAAGGAAAAACCATGATTTTTTACGAAAAATCCCTAAAAATGACTATGTACCCCCCCCCCTGGTTGCCACATCTTTTTACATAGAGAGCTCAAATTTGGTACACTTATGTATTTTTACGTGAAAATTACGGGAAAAATATAGCGAACATGATTCGGATTAATTTACATAGCGTTGTCAAGGAAAAATCAAAAATTTTGAAAAAAAGCGATTAATCCTCCTAGCGCACACAATATTTGACAAAGGCAGTTCATATTTTATCCTAAGGGATCCAAATTTATACTTTTTTACGTATTTTTACGTGTAGATTACAAAAAAAATATAGCGAGAACGATTGGAGTTAATTATCATAGTGTTTTCAAGGAAAAACTGATAATTTTCGATAAAAATCATTATTTTTCCCCAAAAAACAAAGAATATTTTATCTAAAGAGTTTCAAATTTATACACTTTTACGTATTTTTGCGTGTAGATTACAAAAAAATATAGCGAGAACTCCAATTGTGCTTGCTATATTTTTTTGTAGTGTTTTGCCATTCTTTATAATTTGCCATTTTCTTTTTTTTATCATTTGCTATTTTTTTTATCTTTTGACATTTTTTATTTGTTGATATTTTTATTACTTGGTGAAATCTAAAAAAAATCATAAAATTGAAAATGTTAAATGATAAAAAAAATTAAAAAATTTTTAAAAACTTATGAAATGTATTTCCATGCTCAAAATTAAACAAAATTTGAATTTTTCCATCGGCCTTCACACTTTAAACCCATCAAATTTTAGGATTAGGGGTACGGAAACCTCGGTTTTAATGCGAGTGTAACTCGCACTTGTCCGATTTTTTTTTTATTTTCATTGGAAAGCTGAGGTTTTTTCCGATGAGCTATGAAAATATGAAAGTGGGACAACAATAATTTTGTGAGAAACAGAATATTAAAGTAGGCGGTACTGATAACGGGTATACCTAGAGATCATCTTCGAGGATTTAGGTAGGCACCGCCTAATATAATATTATGTTTCTCACAAAATTATTGTTGTCCCACTTTCATATTTACATAGCTCATGGGAAAAAACATCAGCTTTCCAATGAGAATAAAAAAAAAATCCCGAAATGGTGAAAATGGAAAAATAAGGGTTGATTTTGAAAAAAAGAGGTCAAAAAATTTTTTTTTTTAATTTCGTAAAAATTTTTGAAAAGTACGTGAAAAATGCATTAAAATTCATTATAGGTAAATTAAAATCCATTAACTTCTATCATAGTTATACGGTTTTGAAAATGACAACGTTACCCTTAACGTCAAAACTTCAACCTTCTCTAATTTCTACAAATATTTTATTAATGAGTTTATATTTTAGGGATTTATTACTATCATATAGGACAACAATTTACTAAAGTATGAAGCCAATCCCAGAACATTGACTTTTTGGGCTGGGCGATTGAAAAAGAATCTCTCATATATATACACACTAATTTAGCTTTTTTTCAATTTTATATAATTTTTTTAACAATTTATCGATAAATTTTCACTGTAAGCGAAGTTAAGCGATTTCTAATCGAAATCGCTCAAAATACGCTTGAACCTATCCACCAGGGACAAAAAATAATTATAAGTGCAAGATATATAAAAAAATTGTAAAATAAATCATATAAAATAGATAAAAATGAACTACATTAAAGTTAATATTAGAAAAAATTTCAAAATATAAATAAAAGAAAAAGAGAGTAAAAATGTTATTGACCTGTAACTCCAAAGAAGGATCTTGAATGGAATGAGCAATTTTATGCGCTCTTTGGAAGGCTTCTAATGCTTTACAAAATCCAGCTAATTCCAAATGAACCCGACCGACAGTTAAGTGAACAAGACCAGCAGTAGCACATTGATCACATTCGTTGTATAAGCTAAAAAATGGTTTTTAATTAATTATTCTCTAATTTTTGCAGGAAGTATATGAAATGTTTAACATGAGATTTAAGGGCCACCTTTGCGATTTTATTCATTTTTCGTTTTTAGATAAACATACACTGAAAAAAATTCCTAACATCCGTATACCAGAAGTTGACTAATTTGCCTGTATACGAGAGGAACCCACTAGACAATCTTGGTCAAAGTTGAGTTCGAAATATAGTTAATTTTACTAGGACAATTAGTCGGAACGGATACGTATACAGCACGATTGGTGAGATTTAAATGGAAGCTTCCAGGAAACTTTCAAGAAGTTTAAGATGTCCGCTTCAAAGAAAGCTATCACTGGATTCTCTAGGGAATCGACCACCGGAATATCGAGGAAAGCTTTCAAATATTTTCCTTAAAGCTTCCTAAAATCTTCCTGGAAGCTTGCAGTTAAAAATTAATAATTGTAAAAAATGAAAAAAATCAAATTCTTCAATTTGAAGTCTCATATATCTAACCGCAACATATTTCAGAAACCCAGCATTGCGAAAGTAATGTTGAAAATGAATTGAGGGGAATCGGGTATCGAACGCGGGTTCGACAGACGCAAACGCAATACCCTAACCGAGGTGATACACGAGCAACTGTCAGAATAAATTTCTTGCCTTTAAGCTGCGAGTAGTGCATATTGGTTGCCGAAAATGGCGAGAAATTTCAAAATTCATTTCTTATCGCGGCTGTATATATTATTTATCAATTAATATTATTATATTCCCTGGCGGATTGTATGATGCGAATGCTCCACGAAATTGGCGGAGCATTTGTGAAGCACGAGATCGAAATTGAAATTTTATCTAAAATGTATAAAAATAATGAAATTGATAATATAATTTTTAAAATTTTATGCATTTTAAGATGATTATTATTGAATAACTATAAAATTTTTATGTTTTTATTAATTTCAATATATTGCAGTTGATTGTCAACATTTGTCGGTAAAATCAATAGAGCCACGCTTTTTAGCAGGTAGGTGGCAGTAGTGGGATTACGAATAGCGCTAGTCGCTATGTAGCACTTTTTACTATTTAGGGTTAAAAACTTACATATTTTTAGTGAAATTTGTTCTAAATGATGTCCAAAATAAAATAGAGTTGACAGTTTTTTAAAAACTTAAACTGCAAGATTGTAATTCCAAAGAGAATATAAACATAACCCCAGTAGATAAGACCTTTGACATAGAATTCATGTCAATTTCCTAAAAGATTTTATCTACGTAGCAAACCAATACGACATGAAGGTGGAAACAATTCTCTAACTTCATGTTTGCCAACTGTTATTTTACAATAAAATAATTTACTAAAAATTATTTGATTAAATATTATGATTATTCGAATAAATTTAACCTGAATCCATAATTTTTAACTTCATACTTGCCGCTTTAAAAAGTACTTATAATATAATTTCTATCTTTGAATTTTACCTGCAAAATAATTGTGCTAACTTAAATCTGCAACTAAAAATTTTTGTTAAGTGAATGTTGCTTTAAATCGCTACGTAGCGAAATCTTCGTAGCCCTGTTGCTATTCGTAATCCCACTCCTGCACTCTTATTTTCTTTTTTTAAAATTTTTTCTATATTTTTGTATCAAAAGCAAAATTATTTGTTCAACGGAAATATTAGTAAAAAATGTATTTTTTCATTTAAAAAAATTAATATTTTAATAAAAATATATTATTGTTAAAAAAATTAATTTTTTTATCAAAAAAAAATTTGAAAAAATTAATTATAAACGTAAATAATGGTGAAAAAAATGTATTATTTCATCAAAAAAAATTTATTTATTAATCAAAAAAATTGGTAAAAAATACATTTTTTTATCAAAAATATTGATGAAGAACCAATTTTTTATTAATAATATTGTTGAAAAAAAACTTTTTTAAAGGAAATATTGATGAAAAAAAATTATTATTTAATTAAAAATAATGGTGAAAAATTTAATTTTTTTTGAAAAATATTGTTTAAAAAATAAATTATGTTATCAAAAATATTGTTGAAAAAATTAATTTTTTTATTAAAAAAAAATTTGAAAAAAATTAATTTCAAACGGAATTATTGGTGAAAAATGTACTATTTAATCAAAAACATTGTAGAAAGAAATCAATTTTTTTGTAAAAAAAATTGGTGAAATAAGATATCAATTTTAAGGAGGTTCGGGGGTATTTTGAAAAAGGTTAAAAAAGTTTGAAATATTTTTTTTCCTAATGTCTGGGATGCCATTCAATTTTCCACCAAGTATGAAAATGATTTACCGTATACTTTTTGAGAAAATTGAAGTCAAAGTTCACATTTTATACATAGGCTCTTATGGGATAGTGTTCTAAGGTGAGACAAAATATCAATAAAAGTGCATAAAAAAAGGTTACACTGTTTAAAAAAACTTTGAATTGAATAGCGGAAACATTTCTGATTGTAAACATTTAATAATATTGTATTTTCACCGCATAGTTTTAAAGATAATTAATAAAAATCAATTAGAAATCATGCATTCAAGCAGTATTTCGGACAGGGGCATTGAAACGACGGCAACACTGTAATGTGATCAACGCGTTGACTTTACCCGCGAGAATTCAAAAATACAATAAAATACAAACTTTTATTTTAAACGTTTTTATGAAAAAAAACAATTTTAACTTAATATATTAAATTTTAAAAAATGTTAAAAAATGGTTTATTTTTTTACAAAAATTTATAAATTTAGTTATTAACAATCGATTACAAAAAAATAAATAACAAATCTTAATGGATATTAAAATGATCAATGTTAGCTATTTCAATTAATTTTTATCTTGATAATTAATTTAAAAAAATTTAATGCTATGATTATGATAATCATAATTATTAATTTAATTGAAAAAAAATTAATTATATTTAATAAATAGATATATTTTTTGCAATAACAATTCTATGGTTTAAAGTAATTTTATAATTTGAAATACGAAATGTAATGTAATAAAAAACAAAATGTGTTAAATTGAAAAAGAAAATTGTTTAACACGCCTATCTAATTGTTTTTTATTAATAAATCTGCCTTTATACCTTAGAACACTTTCCATGTTTGCATTTTATTTGGGGTTAGGTTTGTCAATTGACATTTGACAACACACGCGCATACTATGTGAAGTTGTCAGCAAATACACTGACAGAGTAAGCGAGAAAGGAAATGAGATAACCTACGACGGACTGAGATGAAAATAGACAACGAAAGTTTTACTCATGTTAGCCAACACTACACAATAAATGCAGCGTTGCCAAGTCAACTGCAGCCAAATGTTATATTTCTTTTAAATTATTTTAACGATAAATTCACAATTATACACATTTATATGCAAGAATATATTAAAATATAATTAAATAAATTAAATTAGGTGTGTTTCATACAATAGAATAAAAGTAAATGCATATTTTCATTAACGATATTATGTTGGTATGAAATTAAAATTCGTATGCTGAAGCATTGGTACTCCCTCTTCCCTGCCTGCCCCTCAAATGATCCCCCGAACCTCCTTAAACGGAAATATTGGTAAAAAATTTATTATTTAAACAAACATATTGGTGAGATCAGAAATATTGATGAAAAAAATGGATTATTTTTTCCAAAATTTGTCTGAAAAAACATTATTTTTTTAAAAAAATATACCTGAAAAAAATTTTTTTATCAAAAACATTTAATAGGCTTAGTAGAGAGGCAAATTTAGTTGCAAATGATATTGATTTTTTTGATGACAGGTATTCCAGATTCACCTTATTATTGCGTAGATTAATATTGAATCATATTAATAATGTTCCTACCTAGCTATAAATTAATTAGCTTAATATTAATAAATTGAAAATATACTTAGTTTTAAGAGTACCTATGTACGAAAGGGCTTGTCCCGTTAAATAAATAAATAAACATTAATTTTTTTTGATAAAATAGGTACGTAATTTGTGAAAAATAGCGATTTTGTCCCCATTTACCCCAACTGACCCTAATACATTTTTTCTACAATATTTTTCATAAAAGAAATTTATTTTTGTGATCAATATTTTAGATAAAAAGTATAAATTTTCATCAATTTTATTGATAAAAAAATGTATTTTTTTCCATTTTTTTTGATTAATAAATAAATTTTTTTGATAAAATAATACATTTTTTTCACCATTATTTACGTTTATAATTAATTTTTTTCAAATTTTTTTTGATAAAAAAATTAATTTTTTTTACCAATAATATTTTTTTATTAAAATATTAATTTTTTTAAATAAAAAAATACATTTTTTACTAATATTTCCGTTAAACAAATAATTTTGCTTTTGACACAAAAATATAGAAAAAATTTAAAGAAAAGAAAATAAGAGTGCTGCCACCTACCTGCTAAAAAGCGTGGCTCTATTGATTTTACCGACAAATGTTGACAATCAACTGCAATATATTGAAATTAATAAAAACATAAAAATTTTATAGTTAAATAATAATAATCATCTTAAAATGCATAAAATTTTAATAATTATATTATCAATTTCATCATTTTTATACATTTTAGATAAAATTTCAATTTCGATCTCGTGCTCCACGAATGTTCGCCAATTTCGTGGATCATTCGCATCATACAATCCGCCAGGGTTATTAAATAATTACAATATATAATATGTATTTAGTGTAAGTTGTTGTTTTTCGTAGTATATAAATGTTAATAAAATGTATTGCTGACTATCAAAACAATTTCTAACAGGAAGTTTAGTTGGCTCTACCAAAAAATATATTTGAAGCTTACATGTTTAAGAACTAAATAATTTGGTTCCCAGCACTAAATCGCCGGCATGCTGAATTGCGCAAGCGCTGTTCTTGTAAATACGGCGTCTCTTTTCATTCACGGGATGTCAACACTAACCATACGTCGTTTGCGTCGTGAAGTTTTAGTGTTAAAGTTTTTGTTTTTCAGACATTTATTAAAAAAAAAGTTTGTGTAGTGAGAATAAATAAATAAAACTTGTTAAAAGAACGAAAGTTTTTTTCCAGCCTTTATAGATTGTGAAAATGATTTAATCTCAAATTGTTAGTAGAATTCGTAGAGTTGTGGTCAGCATTTTCGACTTGGGTTATGTAGTCTGAGGGTTCGAGCCCCAGCACTGTTAGGTTCTTTCCACGATAGAAATTAATTTAAGTAGGCATAGGTATATTATATAAAGCGAAAAGGGTTGAAGCATTCATAAGCTCTCAGTCCGGGGATTATTAATATATTATGTAATTTCTTATTCTTATTTGATTAAATTTATGTTACACATCGATTCTGAGAAGCAAATAAGTTCAAACATGTGGCCGATAAATTGTAAACATAAATGTTTAGGGAAGTATCACCCACATTCCATTATCTCTTATACAAAAGGAACAATGGTATTGTCAAAATTTAAAGAGACATTATATTCTTAATTTCTATTATTCAATATAAGACACGTGCTAACTATATAACCAGATAAGATTGTAAACACGTAGTAAAATTTATGAATGAAAATACGCTAGTATTTATCTTATTCTTTTTTTTTGCTTTACCAAATTCTATATCTATATTTTTATATTCTTCTCTTTTATTTTTAAGTTATTTGTCGCTTTTCAAACTAAATTAGAGGAATCTTTCCAATGATTGTTTAGTTTTTTAGCTTTTGTTATTAACTTTTGACATTCTTTTACTTGTTTAAACAATTGACTGTTTATCGTTTCAAAGAATTTTATGCTAAAGAAAATAATAATAATAATAAATAATAAATAAAGAATTAATTATTTTTATTTAAATTATGAAAATAACAAGCAATCTGATAATATTGCTGCTTTGTTTATAAAAACGATTGTGGGTCTTTCCTTATTACTTCTCTTAATTCTGAATAGAATAAAATTTACTTGGATTTAATTTAATATTTATAAACAAATAAAAATAAATATTAACACACCTTGGTTTAGTGATTATATCACTTGTTAATGAAGTTTGTATATTGGTTTTATAGCTTTGAAAAATCTACAAAAAAAATATGAAATAAATTATTATAAACTTTACCTAACAAAACTTTTAGGGTTAGTTTCTCCTAACTCTATTTTTGAATTTTCTATTGTTGGTATAAAAAGATTAAACTTTAATGACCTATCATAATTCAACAATATATTGTTAAACTATGACGTATACATTAAATTTCAATGGATTTATCACTGAAAAACCCTACTAGATAATTAATTTGAATAAATTAATTATATCCTATTCTAGCTATTTTTTGGCTTGTCAGGATCATCTCTGTAGTTTAATCTTTCAAATTGTCATGTGGATCGCCTAATGCAATGCACATGGCATATAAGAATATTAAACAAGAATTACGATTTAATCTTTGATACCACTCTTGGACAATCAATAGTGTTGGTAGAGATCGTTAGAAAGCCCCTGACCATTGATTTTCCGTGGCTTGACTCAGAAGAATTGTTTGTTGATATTGTTGTTGTTTTGTTAAATAATAGTTTATTTGATTGAAGATTTGGAAAGTCAGTCGTGTTGGTAGAAATCTTTCGAAAGCCCCTGACAATAGACTTTCCTCCTCGACAATTGTTAATTGTTAATTTGAGAAGGACCAATCGTATTGGTAGAAATCGTTAGAGAGCCCCTAACAATTGGTCTCTCAAATATAACAATTCAAAATAAATTTTATTTTTAATTACGATTTAATCTTTGAAATCTTTCTCGCCCAGAGAATCAGATCGCTTAGGTAGAGATCGTTAGAAAGCCCCCAACAATCTGCAACTCTCAAGTTTGAAAGACTTGACTTTGTAGGTTTGTTACTCTGAAATTTCCTTATATTAAAATATAAACAAAAACTCTTACCAGTATAAACTGTTCAGATCAAAAGAGACAGAAGCACGCATTTACTTGGCTTATATAGTTGCGTCCCTACCCTTAATTTTCTGGGGTAAGTAAAATTCAAAATGTGCGAGTGTATGAGTAAGGAATTTTAAATTGATTAGGCGAAAATCCGCGAGTTTCCCTCACCACTTTACGCTGGGCGCTTCTCCCATGTATTTCTTACCGCCAATTTCTCCCTCTATTTGGATTTTTCGTGGCGTCTATTTTCGAATAGCCAATTACATTTAAATTATTTTCTAAGGACGAAGATATTTTTCTCTCTCTAATTCCGTTTCTAACGTTCGCCAAGGACAATGCCATTGTCTACCTGTCAATCATTTTTCTCTAACTGATTTTCTTTTTCTAAAATCTTTAATTTCTCAAAAAATAATAATTTTAAAATTATTTAACTTTTACCATTAATTTTTAAATAATTTTTATTTTAATATAACATATAATTTTATCTAATTATTATTAATTTCAGCAATTTTTAAAATAATTTTTATTATTTTACTTTCTAAATAATAAAATAAAATATAAAATAAATTTATTCTTTAAATAATAATCTATAAAGATTCTTATTTGTAAAGAAAAAACTTTAAATTTAAATTAAATTAATAATTCTCTTAATTCGTATTTATATCTACCTTCTCTTTCTATTATTTTTCCTGCTTATATTTTCATTATGTTATCTTAGATATCTTTTCTCTCTTTCTATTTTTTTCAGAAATTCAATTTATCTAGTTTCAATTCATTTTCTTTGTGTAATTTTATTTTTAATATTTATTGATTTATAATTTTTGAATAATTTATAACTATTTTATAATAATATTTTTGACTATTGAAATACCATTTCAGGGTGAACCAAAAAATAAGTTAATTAAGAAAACAAAAAAATTTTATTTAACAAAATGTTTTTATTGCTTAAAAACAATAATTTAGTTGTGCGAAACCAAAAATTTGGTAGAACGAACAAAACGATTCATAAAAAAATTTAGTTCTGACAACCAAACGGTTTAGTTGCATCAATATTAAATAAAAAATTTAGTAGAGAGAACTAAAGTTTGGTAGATGTTACTAAATATTTTTCTCAGTGTAGGTTTCTGAAATATGGTGCGGTTAGGAATGAGACTTTAAATTCAAGAAATTGTTTTTTTTTTTATTTTTTACAATAAAAGAAATGTGTTATGAATTTTTAAGTTCTAAAAATATTCAAAATTTTGAAAAAAAAAAAATTTTGTATATATTTTTCTCATAAAATGTTATGATTTTTTTTAAATTTATTAAAAATAATAATAAATTTAATGTTTAGAGGGTGATGCAAAAGTCAAAAGCCTTTAAACTGTCGTCTTATTTTTGACAATTTTTTGTTTTTTCGATTACTTGAATAAATCTTAATGAATCGCTCTAAAAATTTGTACACTTTTTAATCAAGTAAAAATGAAGCCTGAGTTTCAAAAAAAAAAAAAATTCAAAAATTATTTAAAATTTTGAATTTTTAAAAATCAAAAAAAAATTTATTATATTTTTCACATAAAATATTCCCAAAATGAGACACTTTTTTTCCATAACATTTTTTAATAAAGACTAATTTATTAATTTTTAACTGGAAGCTTCCAGGAAAATATTTGAAAGCTTCCCTCGTTATTCCGGTGGAAGATTCCCTAAAGGTTACAGTGATAGCTCTCTTTGAAACGAACATTTTAAACTTCTTGGAAGCTTCCATTTGAATCTCACCATTTTTCCCGGGTAGATAAGAAACCTTATCAGAATAATCATGTATCTTGGTTACATTGGCTAGAATTACTTTTACTAAATAAAAACTTTTGCAAAATTTGGTATGGATACATGTAGTCATATTAACCAAAAATCTTAGTTAATATAACTAGGAAACAAGTGGTCAATTCTACTGAATCGATTTTGACAATATTAACCTTAGCTACACAATTGCATTAACTAGGATTCTTCATTACGCTAACTAGATTGAAAGTTGCTAAGATTAATTGTCATTAATGCGAAGCAAATTTTTTTTAGTGCAGGGGTCTAAGTAACCATAATAAATTTTAATTAAAAATATTTATTATTTTTGGACTTAACTCCATTAACAAATTAATGACAGTTTTTTTAAATCGATAATAACTTTTTTATTTTTTATTGTACAAAAAAGTTTTCTGAACGTTTTTACGACAAAATTATTAAACTCTAAAGAATAAAATAAAATTTTTTAAAATTATAAAAAGATACCTGTGTCTTGCGAAAGCCAGTGCTCTGTCTAAAGCTCCTAGTCTTTCATGAGATCTTGCAAGATTCAAGTATGCCTCGGCTCTCATATTAGGTGAATCTAATTCTTCAGAAATACAAAGTTGTCTCTGGCCAAAGTCTATACTGTCTCTGAAAATAAAAAAACTAAAATGTCTACAAGACAAAATTCTTTCTTAAATAAAGAAAGTTTCTTTATTTATTAGATAAAACAAAAATCAATAGGAGAAGCAACATGTAAGGCTTTCGTGGCTCTTAATTGGTTATCACCAATACTTATGATACTTTAAAAAAATTTTTTTAAAAATATAGAAAATCTATATATTATATACACTCTAATATAATCTATATATTGGTATTATGCTTGATTTTTAAGTCTTATGCTTATTGAGTCTTAAGTCTTATGCTTAGGGTAAGGTAGCCTAAGAGTACGCAGTGCTTAACACTAGAACTACCGAAGATCCTACATACCTAGAACTATCACCGGTACATTTTGTCCCATTATTCATTTATGTTTTTTTTATTAACATTTACAAGTTAGAAAAATAAAATAATACATGATTTTTATAGGTTGTTTCACGTAGATTACGAATCCGAAGTCGGAAATACTCCAGCATTTTAATTTTTCAATAAAAAATAGGTTTGAGCAATAAAAAACAGCGTTTTTTATGTTAACTTTAAAACAATATAAAAAATTATCCCGAAAAGTTGGTAACTTACGGTAGACCTTAAAATAATAAATAAACCTTCAACAATAAATTATATGAATAAATTATATGTATATGAAAAACCCAAAACTTTAAGTGAAATTTTGCCAAAAACGAATTTTTTGATAATCGCGTTTCACCAGAAATTTCGTATGCTACCCAGATAGCACGGAAACTTGCGGCAAGCTTACCGTGCAAGCTTGTCTGAGCTAGCTGAATGTCCTACCAAGGGCAAGCTTGCCGTGAAAGCTTGCTGTAAGCTTTCCAGGAAATGTTGCTGCAATCTTGCCATGAAAGATTGTTACAAGATTGCTGCAAGCATACTAAGAATGATTGCGACAAGCTTGCCGTGAAAGATTGCTGTAAGCTTGCCGTTCACCTTTCACTCAATTAAATATATAAAACTTAATAAAATTATTCGTAACATTTTAATAAACAAAATTATTAATCAAAATATACTTCTTTAATATATTTTTAATAAAAAATTAAAATACAAAAATTTTAAATTCAGTTGAGAACGCGCTTTTTGTCTGACTTAGAGCAAAATGATTGAAAAAACGGAAATGACGATATCTTGAGAATAGGGGGCTCTAGGATTTTGGTCCACACGGATTCTTAAAGTAGAAATAGTCACGAAGAAAACACAATTTGTTCTTATTATACCCATTTTTGTTATACCTGTGACTGCTTTTAGACCACTGTGTAGGCTTATGTAATAAATCCTTGAAGATTTTGTTTACTTGATAAAACCAAATGAATAGAATGCAAGCCCTTAATTTAATTTTAAAACACAAAAATGTCGATTTCTCGAAAAAGGGAGCATCCAGGATTTCAAATTTTGCATATTCTGAACCTACAAGCGATCTAGAAAAATGCTCCAAAACCCGATTTTGGATTCATTTTCGTTGCATTTCTTTTTCCTTCAAGACCACCATGAGGGATGGTTTTAGGGGTTCGAACGCGTCATGCTGTAAATGAATTTTGATAGATTTAAAGGAGAAAGAGAAAATTATCTGGCTGTTTTGTACTTAATGAACATAACAGAAAAAATGATGCGGCTACCAATAATTTATTACCTGTATTTTCCCCAATCCATGTAAGCTTGGTAGAGGTACCCAAGAAGAGCAAATTTGTCTTCACGTTGCCTAATACTTTTTAAGGCACCTCTCCATTTGCGCACAGCAGCTTGTTGTTTGTGAGCTCGATATAACTTCAACCCTTGTTCCACCTGCAAAGCAAAATATTTCATTTTTCATTAACATTAATTAATTAATATATATATATATATATATATATATATATATATAAAGAAAGTCAAAAATAGTTTTGATTTTCAAAAAAAGGAATAAACATTTTTTTAAATTTTTTGCACTATTCGATAGAGCGGAAAAAAACTTTTGAAAAACATATAGGTCAAATTTTTTTCACCCTTTTATATATGGGATAAAATTCCTGTAGCGAACTAAGTGAAAAAAAAGTTGATCAGATCGGGCTGTAACTTGCACATAGTTTAGCTCTAGGGGTAAGTAATTTTTTGAAAAATTTAAACAGTGAATATTTGAAGACTTGTAACTTTTAAACAGAAAGAAGAATAAAAATTTGTCCTGTATGTTTACAAAAGGTTATTTCCTGCTCTTTCAAATGGTGAAAAAAATTTCAAAAAATTCAAAATTTGGCCCTATTTTCTGAAAATCAAAATTTTTTTTTAAGTTCAGTCTTTTTTTTAAATTTATTTTTATTTTTTTTTTAAATTAAAAATGTGCACTTTTACCTCAAAAAATATTGAGATATCCTTTTTTGTTATTTTCGAGATATTAATTAATTAATTAATGTTAATAAAAAATGAAATATTTCACAAATAAATAAAGGTATCGTAATTCTGATGTTACTAAATGAAAGTTTACATAATTCCGCATCCAACGAGCCCTATATGGACTATTTTAGATTAGAGGATTTTCTATAAACGATTGTCATGTTAGTGAATTGTTTATTAACAATCCACCAACCCAAAGTACTTCATATAAGGTTCGTTGGATGCGGAATTATGTCAACTTTCATTTAGTAATGTCAGAATTACAATAACTTTATTTGTTTGTAAAATATATCATTTTTTATTAACCTTAATAGTTAATTAATTAACTAAAAATTGTAAATATTATGTAAGTAAACAAAAAAACTTTTGACATATGAGAGATTCTTTTTCAATCGCCCCAGCCCAAAAATTCAATGTTCTGGGATTGGCTTCATACTTTGGTAAATTGTTGTCCTATATGATAGTAATAAATCCCTAAAATATAAACTTATTAAAAAAATATTTGTAGAAAGTAGAGGGGGTTGAAGTTTTGACGTTAAGGGTGACATTGTCATTTTCAAATCCGTATAACTATGACAAAAGTTAATGGATTTTAATTTATCTATAATGAATTTTAATGCATTTTTCACGTACTTTTCAAAAATGTATACAAAATTAAAAAAAAAATTTTTAACCCCTTTTTTTCAAAATCAACCCTTATTTTTCGATTTTCACCCCTTCGGGTATTTTTTTTTTATTTTATTTTCATTGGAAAGCTGAGGTTTTTTCCCATGAGCTATGTAAATATGAAAATGGGACAACAATAATTTTGTGAGAAACAGAATATGAAAGCAGCCGGTGCCTACCTAAATCCTTGAAGATGATCTTTACGTATTTCCGTTATCGGCACCGCCTAGATTAATATTCTGTTTCTCACAAAATTATTGTTGTCCCATTTTTATATTTACATAGCTCATGGGAAAAAACCTCAGCTTTCCAATGAAAATAAAATAAAAAAAAATACCCGAAGGGGTGAAAATCGAAAAATAAGGGTTGATTTTGAAAAAAAGGGGTTAAAAATTTTTTTTTTAATTTTGTATACATTTTTGAAAAGTACGTAAAAAATGCATTAAAATTCATTATGGATAAATTAAAATCCATTAACTTTTGTTATAGTTATACGGATTTGAAAATGACAATGTTACCCTTAACGTCAAAACTTCAACCCCCTCTACTTTCTACAAATATTTTTTTAATGAGTTTATATTTTAGCGATTTATTACTATCATATAGGATAACAATTTACCAAAGTATGAAGCCAATCCCAGAACATTGAATTTTTGTGCTGGGGCGATTAAAAAAGAATCTCTCATATATGTTTTCTAAATTTTTTTTTGCGCTCTTGCTATTGGTGAAACAAAATTTCAAAAAATTCAAAATTTGTCCCTTTTTTTGAAAATCAAAAATTTTGTTGACTTTTTTTTAAGTTCGGTCTTTTTTTCAATTTATTTTTTTTGAAAGTTAAAAATGTGCACTTCTACCTCAAAAAATATTGAGATGCTTAGTCGAAAATCGTACGCTATGTTAAGCTGAACAAAAAGTTGTTTTGAAGTATTAAGATAACCATTAGAGAATTGTGAGACAGTAGATAACTAGCTATAGAAATCTTTCAGGAAGCCTGTTATGGCCGATTTTTCGCTTCCACGGAAAGCTTAAAAATAACAAATTTTGTACGTTTTAAACAAAGCATTCAAGTAGCTTTGAGAGAGTTATCAAAGAGTTGCAGGATTTTGCATATATAAAAAGAAAGCGTTCAGGTGGCGAAAATTAAATGAAGCGTCATGTGAAATGCCTTATGGTTGTTATGACACTTCATAAATATTTAAAAACAATATATAATGTATAAAATGTATTTTATGTATTATTATCAACGTCTGCTAAATATTTTAATAAATAATTAAAATATTTTGTAAATTTTTAACTTTTAGTACATTGTTGTCAACTAAAATTTGTAAATAAAAATACGCTGTTAAATTCATTTTCATAAATTATGAAATTCTAAAAGAATAAAGAATATATTATTTATAAAAAATATTCATAAATATCAAGTATAAAAATAATAATCTTTTTTTTAAATATTAAATATTTTGTCTTTTTTTTAAGAAATTGTATTCATTATTCAATATAAAAGGTTTTCACCGTGTTCGTATTACTAACCCCAAATTTTGCTCAAGTTATATATAATTTTTTTCGTATATAATTTAAGTGTTTAAAAATAAACGTTTTCTTTGAAAAATAATTTTTATATAATATATTATAAAGAATAATTATTAATTGTATAAAACGGATTTACAAATTACTATAGAATTTTTATGATTTTTCGATTTAGTTTAATTTAATGAAATTATTCTAGTTTTCAGGAAGTGTAAAAAAGGTAATTAAATTACATATTAATTTGCAACTTGTGAAAAGCAAATAGAATTGCTTTCTTACACATTAAACCAAGCATTAGGAAAGCATTCACCAAGCAAACTGGTAGACCTTTTGCTAGAAGCTGTCCACAGATATTTAACAAGCTGTAAAAAAAGCTTCCCGTTAAGAAGTCAGAAAGCAAATATCACAGAATTTTAGGTCTAATGTATAAATAGTTGCCATGAAGCTTTTGAAACCTTCATAACAGTTACCTGAAGGCCATGTGAACCCTTCAGGGAAACTTACGATTTTCGACTGGGTGTCCTTTTTTGTTATTTTCGAGATATTAGTTAAATAATTTATTAATGTCAATAAAATTTATATATTTTATAAACGAATAAAGGTATCGTAATTCTGCCGTTACTAAATGAAAGTTTACATAATTCCGCATCCAACAATCCCTATATGAACTACTTTGGGTTGGTGGATTGTTAATAAACAATTGGCTAACATGTCAATTGTTTATAGAAAATCCTCTAATCCAAAATAGTTCATATAGGGCTCGTTGGATGCGGAATAACGTCAGCTTTCAATTGGTACCTTCAGAATTGCAATAACTTTATTTATCTGTAAAATATTTCATTTTTTATTAACATTAATTAATTAATTAAATTATATCTCGAAAATAACAAAAAAGGACATCTCAATATTTTTTGTGGTGAAAATACACATTTTTTACTTTCAAAAAAAAATAAATAAAAAAATAAAAAGGACCGAACTTAAAAAAAAATTTGAAAAAATGTTTAATATTTAAAGGAAGGGTCAAAATTTTAATTTTTTGAAAATTTGTTTGCACCATTCGAAAGAGCAGGAAAAAACCTTTCGAAAACATACAGGACAAATTTTTCTTCTTCTTTCTGTTTAAAAGTTACACTGAAAGAAAATTCATACTACTAAGTATTAAACTCATATTAGAGTTTAATATAAATGTTACAATTTAGGGAAAAAGTGCACCTATGTTGATTACTATTACAGTTTTTATGAAAATATATAATGAATTTAAGAGTAACTATTATTTTAAGAAATAAGAATTAGTATATTTATTTTAAAAATTAGTATTTTCTTTATGAATTCACAGAATACGAAATATTATAATAAATAATTTCACAAAATAGTAAGAAAAATAACATATATCCGTATACTTATTTCACATTTTGTAAAACTTTATATTAAAAGTCACGGATTTTCCCGAGAGACTACGAATTTAACCGAAGTTCTGTCTGTTTGCGGCTTCGTGTCCTACTCGAACTTCTACGACTTGATCCGATTTTCGAAAGTGTTGTTAACCAGCAGAACGTACCTATCAACTGTCAACACACGTGTTTCAAATGTTTATAGTGTTTTAAATTCTTTTTAATTTAAATTTATTTTCAATTTATGAAAAATGTTTTATTAAAGTTATTTAATAATAATAAATTCATTATTAATTATTAAATTTATTATTATTTTTATTAATTTTTATTTTTTGATGTCATCTTTACAATTATTTGATTTTTATTTGCAATAAAAATTTTTATATCATAATTTTTAATCTGAAAAAACAGAAAAATCTATATAAACAATTAATAATAAAAATGAACCCAGCGTAACCTCTATAAAATTACACCATTGGCACTAGTAAACTATTTTTTATTATTAAGTTATTATAAGTAAACTTTTTTCTCGCAAGTGGTAAAAATATTCAGTAGTTAGTATATAAGAAAACGATATATGCCGACCCCCAGCGAAATTTATCGTTATGCGTATAGAATTGTAAGTGTAGGTTTCGTTGCGATCGTGTAATGTCTATGTATAAGCGAAATGAACGTGCGTGTTCATTAGTATGTGTATTAACCTGTATCGTAAGTGTGAATGTGTTGTTCCTAGTATCACTCCTCTTCCTTCCGACATTCTCAATTTTTCGTATAAAGTTTTACAAATATTAGAACGCTACATTCCATATAATGCAACAACTCTATGAGTTT